GCCGGGCCCTCCGAAGCGCCGTGTCACAGGGACGCGGGTGCGTTTTGGGCACCCGCTGCTCTTTTTAGTTCGTTGAAAAAATCGTCTTTTCCCAGAGGTTTCGCTCGAGCCCGCTGGAGCAGCCGGGGAGCGTGAGGAGGCACTGGAGTCATCGGTGGTTGCGCGGGTTTAGCGCCGCGTTCGTGGCGCTTCGGGAAAAGATAGGAAAGCGCAGGTTTTCATGCAGAATAAGGAAAAAAACCCCTAAAGTTAGGTAAGAGCTCCTGGGTGCTTTTCATAGGGCGGTTTTGGCTGGATTCTGCCTTTGATCTGGTTGATGCAGCTACATGGGGGAGGAATAAGGCAGCACCTGGTTATGGGTGGAAGGTGGGGTGGGAAAAACACACGTCTTGCTGTTTCCCTGGGTGGAATTGGTGTTTGGCCCTAGGAAAAACCCACATGTTGGTGCGGGAGCTTTATGCCTCTGAGTGAGGAAAGCTGTTAATGGCAGTCTTGCTCCCTTCCCGTTTGAGGATGTAGAATTTGGAGAGCTCCATAAAGAAGGCGTGTCCCTCTTCAAAGTTGAAGTTAGTAATAATGTAAAAGAACCTGCTTTCTCATTAGTTCCACGTCAAAGAGAATAGCAGTGCCATTAATGGAACGCCATGTGTAGCATATGCAAAAAACCTTCTATCCAGTCAGAATATTCTTTCAGTTTGTGCCTGGTGTCTTTCCTAAGCATGTGCCTCAGAAGCAATGGTGTGTTACTTGAGATGCAGTCGTTGATGTTGCAGCACTTGCTGGTCCCAGGAGCACACTTTACAACAGAACCGCTGGCTATAAATGTCTCTTCTCGTGTGTAGATGTGCTGTAGTTACCCATGCTACAGAGTGACCAGGCTATGCAAAAATTAAGTTAAAATTTCAGGTCTGAAGTTACATGTGTTGACAGAATTTAAAATATGTTCATCTAAGCTGCCTATCCTATAAGGAACAATTTGGAATCTTCTTTTAGGGGTGTAATTGTTAGGGGATACATTTCTGTGACTTACCTTCTCTGATGACAGCTTATCACACTGAAGAATGGCTGTCCAGTTCTCTCATGGGTCACATTATAGCTATAACATGTTCCTAATTCAAACTGTTGTCAAGATGTGTGCTTTTGCAATTACCTGTTTGCTGTAGCTCCCTGAAAGGTGGTTTGGAAGCACTGGTCCTTGGCATCCAAACCAAGATTGCTAGTAAATATATTCAGTGGTTTGTGTGAGTGCTGTAGACTGGAGTAACTTATTTTGTTCTGCTGAGGAACTTCTAACAGTGGGGCCCTTTGGCTTGTTTTTATGGTCACCTTGAGGAAAGAATAAGAACAGATTTTCCTGGGGAAGTTCAGTAGGTTTTGAATACAATAACGTGTAGTATGGAGTTGTGTTTTGAAAGCTGAAAATATTTGGCTTATCTGGAAGGTTTATTTTACATTGTAAGACTCTATTGATGGCACAGTTCACAAAATATGCAATGGTCTCGTTTAAAACCATCTTTGCCTGGAAATTGATTGATAACTGTAATTGTTCATGATAAGGTATTTTAGTGTTCCTGGGATTATTTTAAGTGTGTGTCAAAAAAGTGTGCCTTCTCTTCTTGAAGGGAAAAGTAAAGAGATGTAATTGAAGATTGACTGAAGTTAGGAATGTCCTAGGCTAGGATCAGGGAGTAGCGATAAGACTTGACAAGAATGAAGTGAAAAGCATCAGGAGTTTTACAAGGGAACTGTGTGGAAAGGCAAGGACTATTCTTGGATGCCCTTGCTAGTCTGTGTATGGAACAAAAGTGGCTGGGGCTGATTACAGTAAAACTACAGCTATGTAAGTAAAAGGCATTTGGATTGGACACAAAATACACCTGAAATGTATCAACAAAGAAAGATGTATCTGTCTCTTCATCTGCTTTAGGAGATGAGGAGGAGACCACCTCCATGACAACCTAGCTGAAGTAAGGTAAGCAAGTTTTATGCTAAGAAAGCAAGTCTAATATCTGATTTATATATGCTACTTTAGCTGAGAGCTGAGAAGTCCCAGGAGGTGTGGGTAGAAATTTTTTTAACTTTTTGTCCTAATACGGTGATTAAGAACATGAAAATGGGGGTAGTTAAGCTCGATGTGATAGTCTCCAGACAAAGGTGTTCGGAAGTACACTGTAAGATACAATGTTTGCATATGATAACTGAATAATTTTTAAATCTTCAAGGCAATATTATTTTCAGCTCTAGAATTGGCCAAGGAGGTCTGAATTAGCAGTATCTAACAGTATCTGTAGGTTTTTACTAAAATAAGAATAATTTTTTAAAAACCCTAGTAAAATTTGCAGAGTACTTTTGAGATTAATCACTGTTAATAACTGAGAAAATAGGTAAACAGACTTGCCATCCTCCAGGTAAATCTGTGGGAATTTTCATTCTGCCGCATAATGGCATGGATTCTGGGTAATCATGAGGGATAAAAAAATTAATGTAGTTATGTAGAATATAGGTGTTTGTGCAAGGAAGGGAGGCTTTTGATGTTTTCCTAGTGTTGACATAGTGCTAGTGTGTGAACACTTCTTTATGGTACTTCTGGGTTTTGGCTGTCAGTTCAGTGTAGTCAATATTCAATTAATAGATCTTAAAAGGAATAAGGAAAAAAAAAAAAGAGTTTTCTTTTTGGACATTGGAAGTACAGTCATACTAGGATGTGACACTGTTTGACCTCTATATGTTTTGCTTGATAGTACTTGCAGATGTTATTAATTGAATGATAAATAATTATTGGTACAATTCTAAGGTCTGAATTGCTTAGCAAATCTGATAAAGCCAGGAAGAAGATTTCTGCTTCCAGTATAAGGCAGTACCTTAATTGCTGAGATATTTAGGGCTGTAGTGGTAAACAATTAAACCTCTAGAGAGCAGTGATGTAACCAAGAGGGTGACTGCTTTCTCAGGCACAGAAAGCAACTCAATAGCGGAGTATTTAGTAGTGGTAGTGGCTAAAAGTCATACAAGCTTTGAAAATTTCTTACAAGAGTAAACTAATTGTCTGGATTTGTCTTTCTTTTCAGACTTACTGTGGATAGAAATTAATAGCATCCAAAGGATAATTATATGTGCAGTGGTATCTATAATCTGTCTTCCTTCTGTTTCTAAATTCAGACAAAGAACAAATTCAGAAAGAAGCCTTTTTTGGCAAGACCATTGAGGAAAGTTGCATAGGCAAGTGCTTGATATGATACTGCTCTAATACAAAATGAGATTTGTATGTGTTACAGATGTAAAGCAAAAACTACAGGGCATCAAGGTTTTTCTTTTGCTCAGCAGATTAGATGGAGAGGTGTGGGTATTGAAATTCATACTTAGATTAAAGATTTTCAGGTTTCCCTGAAATTATAAAGATATTTGCATTTAAGCTTTGACTTTTGCACTTCTTGGATGATTTTGAAACAGAAAATGTTTTCTGAAACAGTCTTATACTTTAGATGCTTACAGCTGCAATTGATATAAACTCTGTACTCATCTAAACATAGCCGTTGAAGATATGCAAGTCAGTAGTTCTGACAGTTGGATAATAGTATGTCCTGAGTTTGTTAATTTAATTTTCCCTAATGAAAGGGCTGTTACTTTTTTGCTACACTGTAGAAACTGATTCAATTTGATTACTTGTTCAGATTTTTAAGGAATGAGGTAAATGAGACTTCTGTCTTTCTTAGTTCTTAGAAAGGCACGTATACAGCAGTCAAAATCTTGCTAGATTTATGGCTTGGCAAGATAAGGGAACAGGCTACAAGTGCTTAGTTAGGGACAGTAGGAAGAGAAAATGTCTGAGTCAGGACTGTTTAGTAATAGTATAGCACTTTAGTAAAATACTGTAGTGACAATACTTTATGATCTTTATTTCTTGGTTTTATGTGTGGGTTTTTTCTCTCACAGACAATTTTAGGGGTTAAATTGAAACAGTATTGATAATGTCCTTGCAATCATATTTAAAATCTAAAACTTTCAGTTCTTCAGATAACCAGGATGCACTTCCAGTGGGACTGGCTGTTCTTGGGTGTCCTCATAATTAGCTTAGTGACTGCAGAAATTGAAAATGAAGGGACTCTGGATGCAGATGTTGAAGTGGAGGATTTTGACAAGCAGTCTCAAGATGCCGATGTTGATAGAGATAAATCTTCCTTTGAGGTAAGATGACAGACATCTTTAGATAAAGCTTGTTTAATTATAAAATACTAAGTTATAAGTAGTAGAGAAATTCGTGGACAAATGCATTTTTAAAAAAGCAAGTTAACATGCAATTGGCAACTAAGTGGGTGTCAGCCCCCCTAGTCTGAGTTTTAGCATTGCTCTTTTTGACTTGTAGGAAAAGCTTAATGCAGTTTAGTGATTCTGTTATGCCAAAGTGTAAAATCAGATTCTCTGCCTGTGGTGGATAGTCATGAAAAAAGTTTTGCTAGTCTGTGTTTAAGTCTAGATTTGACATCTCATATAAACTATAGATCTACCTAGAAAGGTTGGACCTGCTGATCCTTGAGGTCCCTTCCAACCTGGCATTCTGTGGTTCTATGATCTAGAACCTTTTGTTGCAAGTCTTAACCTGCCATTTCTAGAGAAGAAGCAGAAAACATCTTGGTCTTGCTGAGATTTTGACTTTAGACCAGTTTCTTCATTTCATCAGTCACAGCTGCTTTTTGACACTTTCTTTATTCCAACACAATTTTTCTGTATTTGTTACATTGTACTTCATAAGAGATGTGGGCATATTCATACATTATTTTTCAACTTTTGTCATTTTACTGTGTAGCCCAACTGTAAGATGCCAAGTAGCTGGGAAAACAGAATTTAAAATGTGTATAGAAAGAAGTAGGGAGGAAACAGAAAATTGGTGCAAGTTCAGTAAATGTTCTGGGATTTTGTTGCATGTAAGATGTGTTTATTTATGGGCTTTGAACACAGGAAACAATTTTTTTAAGTCGCAGATGTGAGATTTCTCACTGTTAAAGGCATGCACCCCAGCTGAAGAAATGAGTGACATGGAGAGCAGGGAAGAATGGATTATTCTGCTAGATGTTTCTAATTAACAAAATCCAGTGGTGTGTCTGGAAGGACTGCCTCTGTAAGTGTGATAGTGTATTTCAAATGAAAAATTGTAATTTGTTACAGTGTGTAGCTGTATGTGTCTTTTAGGTTGTGTACCAGACTCCAAAGCCAACTGGGGAAGTGTATTTTACAGAAACCTTTGATGGAGGATTGACTGGGTAAGTTTATGCCTTAAAATTATAAACGTCTACTTTCTGCAGTTTACCTTACAGTGGCAGGACTTTGCATTCATTTTTCTAGTGTCTTTATAAAAATTAAGATTTACAAGGTTTAGAATTGGGAATGCTGGTAATGCTTGCTTGAAATACGTCAATGTTAAGCTGAACAGTTAACATTTCAGGTATGTTTCTATTTTTTGTTTTTTAAGTAAGTTTTTAATAAATTCTGGGTTTGTGGACATTAAGAGAAAAAAACCCTCAAAGATGAGTTTAGCCACTTGAGTTTAGCTGAAAGGTGAAATGCATGGCCATTTCTCTGCAGGAGCAAGTTCTTCCTTCCTTTTCACATGCACTTAGGTATATGTAAGAAGGCAGTGCCTTCAGCATTATAGATGTAACCTGGATTGAGGAAGACTTTTTTTAGCTGATTTTTTAAATTAATTTATCATCTTGCTTTCCATAATCAATAAGAAGTAGATACTTATGAGACTACTGAAGTGCTCCTAGGTACTTTGACCTCACTGCATTGAAATTTTAGGAGAATCTTCAGATTTATCTCAACAATTCCTGAGAAATTTTTGTCTTGTGAATGTCTTAAGTTTTCTTCCAACAGTATGGCAGTGTAAGGTGTAACTGCTGCTGAGTGACTTCTGTTGCTCAGTTGGACTCTAGTCTTGAAGATCTTCCAACTGTAACGATTCTGCAATGCTGTGAAAAGCTGTGTATTGTGAGCTATAGTCAGTTGCCACCAATGTGCTGTTAATAAGAGTGAATATAATATATTTCTGAAATAGAATTACCACTTTTAGTTGGAAAACAGCTTGTCTTTTAGTCTTGTTTCTAGCTCAGATATAAAGAGTGTAGAATATCAAGGAGAAACAAATTAGTACCATGTACATGTGATCTGTATGATCACTGAGTTTTCTTTTTAATCAAGCCAGGTTAGCATACTGTCACTGAGTCAAGTTAAATAAGTGTGCATGCAGGTGTAATCTGGGAATGGAGTAGAAATTTCTGATGTGATGGATTGTTAAAGTACTTCCTTGCTATGATAAAAGCTTTTAAAATGTGACAGTAAGTTTCTGGTTTTTAATGACAAATCAGGTGTTGTTACAGGTATATTCTTTTCCTGCACACTTTTCCTGGACACTGCTGAACAAAAGTTATCTCTTGATTTGTGAAGAATTGTGGAAAAAGATATTTTCATGTTACTAAAATGGATGGAACAAAAACTAACTCTCCTGTGAAAAACCAGGCAAAGGGGTGAAAGGAGATGGAACAGGATATATTAATTATGGTAGAACTTAAAGCTGGTTATATTTTTACTTCCTGTGGGGCTGAGATACAGCTACTGTAGGAGTGAGGTAATGCAATTGTAATATATGTATGTCTGTTAAAGGATGCACAATTTAAACTGTAAACAAAATAATGTGGTAGCAGGTACCAACAACTTTTGTAAGATTGAATCTTACTCCCTTTTTCCAGTTGTTTCTAAACTTGCCTTCTGTTGAGTTACTGGGAATTCAAGCAGAAAAGACACTAATCTCTGAAATACTACATGCAGATAATAATTAGGAATGAATGAAAATAGTTCTTTACAGAATAAATAATGAGAATGTAGTTTTATAGTTGGTACAATTAAGAGTTCACCAGCACTGTTGGTTTGAGATATTCCTGTGCATGGCTCAGAATAGAACCATCCAACCAGATGAGGGTGGACTGCCCTTTATTCCTTTTTTTCCCTTCTCTTTTGTCCTCCAAATGAACACGTTGTGTGTAGGGTATGATCATGTCTCTTTGGTAACCTCAATTTGTTTGCCTTTTGAATAGTATCAGGAGTTTGTTTGCCCTGTTGGGATCCCCTTACATGCATTTGGATGTAAGGGGTATGCACTACAATTATGTAGTGCATAATTGTGTTTGTCATTTGGGCACTTATCTTTTCCTTTCAATCCTCTGCTCTGCATGTGTACTGTTACTGTCAGATAGTGTTAGATGTCTTTGGGTGATTTTTTTTCCTTTCCATTTACATTTGAACCTTGCTATTTTCCATGTATTTTTGACATTGTAGTCTTAGGTAGTATTCTTACATTCTGCCAAACTCAGCTTGTCTGTAAAACTGAAGTTTATTAAAAATAATTTAATTACTTTACAGTTATAATTTTAATTTACATTCTTAGGAATTATTTTGAAATGCTATATTAGGCTAGTCTATTTTTAATTTTTCTTTTCTACACTAAGTTCAGATGCTGAATGTCAAAAATCATTATCACGGGTTCACAGCCTTAAAGTGAGAGCTGGTTTTCCCATGCTTGTTAAATAATAAAGTTTTACATAGCTGGTTCAATGACTAGTATGCTTTTTGGTTTAGGTGGGTATTGTCTAAAACCAAGAAAGAAGACACAGATGATAGCATTGCTAAATACGATGGTAAGCAGTTCTAATGTTTACTTCCAGTACATAGCTTCTGATGTACTCTTGCATAGAACTTACCTTTGAAAGCCCAGATCACATAAATAAAAAATGTTGGTTTGTCTGATGGCTGCTACTCTGAAGTGGAGATTTGAAACGTTGCTCATTGGCTTCCTTAGCATGAAGATTTTTCTTTTGTCATCCCAATAATCTATTGTGATGAATAATACTAAAATACCCTCCGGCATCTGAATATTCAATACTGGTTGTTTATGAATAGTGCTTCTTGAGAACTGCCTTCTCTGAAACAATATCGGAGAGATTTACTGCTTCAATTTCAGTTGTTAAAACATGTTTCTAAAGCAGCATGTTCCATGTTGCTGCATCTTGATTCATGGCTTGGTCTCCCAGTCTAGCCTCTGAAACAAAAAAGTTAAACTGAACAATGTATTTCTTTCAATTTTCAATATATTACCTTAAAATGCTTTTTCAAAAGCTCTATTCTTGAACACAGGGTTTTCTAGTGGTTCTTGTACAGTTTATTTTTACAGTAGTAATAAAAATAAATATGGGACGTAGTGATGAAAGAGTTGGTTTGATGGCTTTTATCATTGGGGTTTGCACTTGACTTATAAATTTCTAGGCTAGAATTGCCTGCTTTAACATAATTTTAAACTGTTTGACAGATGTGTGATCTGTGGCAATAATTTTGCGACCTGAATTTATTTAATTTAAGAGAAAATGGGGAGAACAGAAAAAGCTTCTTCTGCAAAAGAAAAGTATTTGTCTCTGTTCTTATGTCAAACTAAAGCAATAAAATTTAATAAAAACTGGTAAGCAAACATAACTTGTAGGACTTTGATAAGCAAAACAGTACAGAACGGCTCTTTTTAAGTTTAGCAGTTACCAGAAATAACTGGTAAAATTAACAAAGTTGCAGAGGAAATATCCATATAGATGAGGTGGCTGGAAGCACGATGTCTCTCTGGCCAAAGATGGAGAAGAACTATCACCAAGGGGGTAAAGAATTCTCAGCCAGGAGTTGGCAGGCCTAATTGAGAGAACTTTTAACTGGGTTTGAACGGAGAAAGGGATAAAACCAGGCCCAATGTAGATGAGCCATGGGGTGACAGGACAAGTGTTAGCAGGGCTTATAGAAAGGGCTTTGAACTAGATGTGAAGGGGGGTGGGCATGTAAGTGGGCTTGCTAGAGAGAGGCCTGGGTGTAGCAGCTCAGGAACACAAGGCAGAGTGCTAGTATTTTTGAAAACCAGGTGGTCTGCCAGCCCTCAAGAGCCAACAGGGAAATACCCATGAAACACCTTAAGGGAGATAAGAGATATTCCTCTAAAAAGATGACAGGGCCAACAGCCCATGCCTTTACACAAATGCACACAGCATGGGAAACAAACAGGAGGAGTTGGAAACTACTATGTCGCTGGAACTTAGTGGCCATTACTGAAACTTGGTGGAATGACTCCTCAGACTGGAGTGTGGCTATTGATGGCTACAAGCTGTTCAGAAGAGACAGGTGAGGAAGGAGGGACAGAGGTGTTGCCCTCTATGTTAAGAAACTGATTGTGTGTGAGATGTCCCTGAAGAATAGACAAGAGCAAGTTGAAAGCTTAAGGGTAGGAATTAGAGACCAAAGCAACAAGAGGAACCTTGTGGTTGGTGTCTGCCTGATCAAGGGGTGCGTACTGATGACAGATTTTACTCCAGCTTCAGGAGGCATCGTGCTCACAGGCTCTTACCCTGCTGGGTGATTTCAACCACCCCAATATCTGCTGGAAAAGTAACACAGCGAGCTGTAGGCAATCTAGGAGACTTCTGGGGTGCCTTGAGGAGAACTTCTTAAGCCAGGAAATAGACAGCCCTACCCAAGGGGATGTGATACTGGACCTGATGGTCACCAGTGCAGGTGAGGTCATCAGGGATGTCAAGATTTGAGACAGCCTAAGCTGCAGTGACCATACACTGGTGGAGTTCACAGTCCCTAGGGATATGAGTCAGATGAGGAGTGTAGTCAGAACCCTGAATTTTAGGAAGACAAACTTCCAGCTCTTCAAGGACTTAGTTAGTAGGACCCCCTCAGAAACAGTCCTCAGGGACAAAAGATCAAAACAGAGCTGGGAGATCGTTAAGGTGGCTTTCCAGAGAGCACAAGATCTCTCAATCCCCAGGTGCAAGGAATCAAATAAGAGACCAGCACGGCTGAGTTGAGACCTGCTGGCCAAACTAAAAGGCAAGAAGGAACTGCACAAGCAGTTCAAGCAGGGAGTGATATATTGGAAAGAATACAGGACACTGCCCAGTCATGCAGGTATGGGGTCAGGAAGGCCAAGGCAGGCAAGGCTGGAGCTGAACTTGGCAAGGGAAGCAAAGAATAACCAAAAGGACTTCTACAGGTATATCAATCAGAAAAGGAATGTTAAAGAAAGTCTGTATGTCCCTGATAGACAAGGATGGCAAACCTAGTAACGGACAAAGAGAAGGCTGAGGTTCTCAATGACTTTTGTGCTTCAGTCTTCACTGGCAACCTTTCTCCTCTCACCTTTCAAGTTGAAGGGCCTCAAGATGGGGAGCAGGAGGAGGAAGTCCCTCCCAGTGTAAGTAAAGACAAGGTTCGAGATCACCTGGGGAACCTGAACATGTCTAAGTCTATGGGACTTGATGAGATGCATCCCAGAGTCCTGAGGGAACTGGCTGATGTAGTTGGCAAGTCACTCTCCATGATACTTGAAAAGTTGTGGCAGTTAGGTGAAGTTCCTGGTGACTGGAAAAAGGGAAACTTTACACCCATTTTTTAATAGGGTAGAAAGGAGGACCCTAGGAGCTACCAACCTGTCAGCCTCACCTCTGCCTGGGAGTATCATGGAACAGATCCTTGTAGAAACTCTGACAAGGCACATGGAGAACAGGGAGGTGATTTGAGATAGCCACCATAGCTTTATTAGAGGCAAATCCTGTCTGACCAACCTAGTGGCTTTCTACAATGGAATGACTACATCAGTGGACAAGGGAAAAGCAGTGGATATATCTGGAATTCTGCAAGGCCTTTGACATGGTCCCCCCACAACATCCTTCTCTCTAAGTTGGAGAATTGGCTGTATGGTCACATCTAGAAGGTAGTGGTCTATGGCTCTATGTCCAGGTGGAAGACTGTGACATGTATCCTCAGGGGTCAGTACTGGGGACCAGTGCTGTTTAATATCTACATCAAAGTTATAGATTGAGGGCACCCTTAGCAGGTTTGCAGATGACACCAAGCTGACTGGTGTGGCTGGTATGCCAGGGGGATGGGATGTTGTCCAGAAAGACCTGGACAAGCTAGAGAAGTGGGCCTGTGTGGACCTTTTGAGGTTCAACAAGGCCAAGTGCAAGGTCCTGCACCTGGGTAGCAGCAATCCTTGTTATCAGTACAAGCTAGGGGATGATGTGATAGAGAGCAGCTCTGCAGAAAGAGGCTTGGAGGTACTGGTGGATGAAAAGTTGGATATGGGCAAACTGTGCACTTGCAGCCCAGAGGGTCAGTCACATCCTGGGCTGCATCAAAAGAAAGGAGACCAGCAGGTCAAGGGAGGTGATTCTGCCCCTCTACTCTGCTCTTATAAGACCCTACCTGGAGTACTGTGTCCAACTCTGGAGGCCTCAACACAAGAGGGATATGGAGCTGTTGGAATGAGTCTAGAGAAGGGCCACAAAAATCATCAGAGGGTTGGAGCACCTCTCCTATGAAGACAGGCCCTCCTGCTTAGCAGACTACAAGAAACTAGGGATTTGTCAACATACGTGTCTGCCCTACCTTAATGAACTTTCACAAACTGCCCTTCAGTTGGATAAAAGTAAATATCTGTTTCATTCAGATTTCACAGTATATGAAACTTCTCTAAAACACATGCTGAAAAACTCATTATGTTTTCTTCCTTTTGTTTACATTGGCACAGGCTTTTTTTGAGATTACAGTGAATTGTAAAAGTAGTCTTTTGTGCTGTGTTCATTCCTGGGAAAAAAAAAATAATCAGTGAATATTGTGCTGCAAATCTCTGAGAAAATGTAACTTCCCTTTTAGAAATCGTGTTCTTTAGATATTGTCCATATGTGTAATTAACTGTGTTTTACCCAAACTTGGAGAATTTATAATCATATAACCTTTTATTTCTAAAACTGTAGGCTTGTTTGTGTTTAAGATCAAATCTGATAACTCTTGGAAAGAATTAAGGGTGGATGGCTTCATCTTCCATGTGATTAGATTTGACCTGAAAGATTGTAATACTATAGCAGCAGGAGGGGAAGAACCATGCAGGTCTAGCTTGCACAGTGCCTTGTGACTAATAGTTTTTTATGTGACAATGGTAGGAATAAATCTAAAATCTGGATAAATATTTTATGCTTGTCTAGGCATTGTGGGATACCACGGCCTAGAGATACAGATCTACAGTATTAAAGTTTAAATTTTATTTCTCTAAATTTGAGAAGAGCAAGGAATAGTATATACTTTACAAATATGCCATCTTTATAATGCTGGAAACTAGCATTATCTTAGTTGGCTAGAACTAATACCTTTTTGGTGAAATGGGAGAGTGGGATTTCCTGTGTAGAGCTTTGCATACCCGAAGTATAGGCATCTCTTCAAATACCTGCCAGTTTCTTAAGGCTGAAATAGACTTTAACTGTAAAGCTCATTAAGTATGAGCTAGAGCTTTGAAACAGTCTCTACGTTAGCAATGCAAGCATTAGGCTTGAATAAAATAACATATCTGAAATGTATTGGCTCTTTCATACAAAGTTGTGATTAAACAGAAATCCAGTGGATATTCCATGCTACAGATTTGTCCCACAATTTAATAACTTAATGAAATTTTGTGATGTATGAACATTTTATGATAAATGTGTAGCTTTCCC